TCAGCAGAACCCAAAGGACCAAGGAGTTTCCCAAAAGGCAGAAGACAAACACAAGGCAGTAAAGAATTGGCAGGAAGAGGGATTTAAATCTGTGAAAGCCATTTCCTTCATTGCACGGAGCAGTATTTTCATCATATCCATAGTCATATTCTGTTGTGACAAGGAACTGGCTTGTGGGATTCATCGCAGATACCTGTGTAGGAAAAAGCAAGGGATAAATGGCTGGCTGTCCTGGCACGGAACTCCCAGGGTGGCTTCTGCCTCTCTCTGTGCCCCATCGAGCCCCTGGGTCAGCCTCCAGGCAGAGCAGGACTGCAAAATGCAGTCTTGATCTCACCGGCTGGACAAAAGCAGCTGTACCACCCAAAAGGCTGCACCTGCAGCCTGCCAATCATTCTTACACAGATGTAAGTATGAGCACTGGGATACTCTCGTTTTCCCTGAAACAGCCTCCGTGCCAGTGAGTTAGTCCCTCATCGTTACAGTGACGGGGAAAAATTCATGCTCTGAATAGTCGTAATGGTGCAAAATGGTACAAAACCTGCATCTGATCTAAGAATCTGGATTTTCTGGTGCTCCCTGGGGTGGGGAAGCTTTTTGTCTGTAGCATAAAAATGCTTATAAAAGTGTCTCAACTGAAGAAGACATCACCCAGCAGCATAACCACATTTTTAGCTGAGCTGATCAGGGCTAGATACTGGCATGGAGTGCAGAGACATGTAAGCGAGTTTTCCATGGGTGGGTGCAGGATCACATACAAAAAAAGTCTGCAGCAGCAAGGAGTTCACAGGGCTACACAGCAGGACTTGCTGTGCCAAGCTGCGGGCAGCGGCAGGGAGGCAAAACCTCCGCATCAGCTGGTGAGCAGCTCGTCTGTGCCTATTGCTAAAACACAGCAGTTTATCGCTCCTGCCTGTTCTGCCCAACTTCAGTTTTCTACTTTAGAGAAAATGAAAACAATCTGGGGGATGGGGGGTTTCAACGCTGTCATTCCTGAAGAACTACAATAAAGACAGCTTTAAAATAGTTCGACCTGTTCTCCAAAACTGAGTCAGTGTTTTAGCCACCTTTTTTTCATTTCAAAGGAGTTTGCCTTGTCACTGTTAAGACATTTGCACGTTTATTGTACACTGCACCTGCATGCTTGCATACGGGTTGATGACATCTTGAAAGAGCTCCAAAAACAGACTTTCCAAGCGAGAAGAATTATTTGTAATAATCATTGCTATTAAGCTGCAGCAGTAATATGAATGACAGTGATCAATTCATTAAAAGTAGAGAGCCTGCTCTCCTGAGTTAAAAATTGCAGCTCAGGTATATGAAAAGAGAGAGAACGGTGAAAATTTTTGTATAGATGAGGAAGGAATGAGAATTAACCCTTTGCCTGGCTATGCCTCCTTGTGCAGGGAAACAGGAGGATCCATATGCACAGCACAGAGGGGTGCTGGCATCAGTGTTCATCCTCTGTTCCAGGTATGGATGTTGCTCATGTCTCACTGACCTGTCTCATCATTTCTTGAGGCACCAGGACTGTTTCCACCAAAGTCAATTGGCACGTGTAATGCAAGAGGAACCTGTTACAAATACAACACTCAACCCTACAGAGTTCCTTGTTCAGAAATGATGAGTGATGAGAGAAAAGCAGTGCTGCAATCTACGTTGATAATGTAATTCTTTCCTATATTTAGTTTTCAGCTGTAGGTAAGACATCTGTGTTAATTTTAAATTTGCTTTCACGCATAGACGCCTAAATATCAAAATGTTGAGTCACTAGATAATAGTTGTTCATGCAGCAACAGATATGGGTAGAAAATATTTCCAGCTAACCTTTTTGGTGTGTGATCCTGGCACACTGTGACTGTAAGTATTGCAGCAATGGCTTGCTTTTCTTAATTGCCAGTCAGAGACCCCTTAAAAGCAGTTCATAGATTCAACAACCAAAAGTAAAAAATTTTCAAAAAATAATGAATGCTGTGTTATAGATATATAAATACATAGATACAAATCTATAGATATAGATTGATATATATGATGCATCTGATTTTGGCAAAATTCAGAAGTGTTTTTCCTGGGCTGAACAGAGACTGGACATGCTCCACTTCAGAATTCCAGAACACCTTTACACCACTAATGTCTTTGACAGCTTCTGACAAGGCACAGCATTTTCCGTTTTCTCCTCTCTCCACATCAGTTGGCAAAACAGTCAAACTGAAAAAGCACCTTTCTGGAGAGTATCAAGAGAGAGATAACTGCTGCAAGTTATCCTTTTCTCTGGTTGCCAAAGTGATCCCATTACTTTTAAGAGTAGCGCTTTAATTGTGGATGGACTTTACCTTTTACAAGAAGTCTCTGCTCTCTCAGTTGGCCCCGATCGCCTTCTCCTTCTACTCTGTCCTTGTCCTCTCTCAGGCTCAGGAGTTTCCAAGAGTTTTACTCCATCACTTGTGGAGAGGGTTGAAATTTGGTGCTATGCGGGTGTCGAATGGGCAGCTGCCAGTTACAGGATAGGTTTTGAGACAAATAGAAGGTTTTGTAGCTGCTGTAAACAGGAAAAGAGGTGAAAAGGCTTAGAAACACATTCTGTGAAACAGAAATCAAATACGGTTCTTTTTGAAGACAGTAAAGGTACCACATGAACAGGTGTGCTCCTTTTCATGCATGTGCTAACTAGCCCTTCCTCACAGCCACTCCTGATTTAAGCAAAAAATCTAAAAGTTCAAATGTCTCCATCACAGAACACACCCTAATAAATTTGCAACGTATTACAGAAGCTGATATATAATTTGCAAGATGCATTATTTTCATTTTTTGTTTCCTTCAGCTAATATTGACTTGTATACTGGAATCTGGTTATGTCCCTCTCCGTTAGTAATGTATTAATTTTCTGAAGAAAATAAGAACTCACAGCTACTGATGCCTCTTGTTCAAGTGGAAGTATTTCAGAGGTTTTTTGCTACACTGGGGTTTTTTGAACTATATTTTAGTGCATTTAGGATATATGGTCAAGGACAAGATATTGAAATGCGGACAGGCTTGAATTTTTTTTTCAATAACTTCAAATTATTTTTGTTTTGTGTAATATTGTAAACTGTGGTGCTTTATTATTGTAAACTGTGGTGCTTTATGTCAGTCAGATGATATGCTTTCAATCCATTAATCTCAACAAGCACCATTTTCCTGATTTATAGGAGCACAGAGAATGCAAGACATTTGCCCAAGAGCCCCAAATTAGTATGTGGCAGATCCAAAGCATGACTGTTATTAAAGTTATTAACTTTTTCTTTGGGAGCAGCTAGCAGCTCCAATACAAAGTAGCTTTCCAGCTTGCTGGCTGATGCATAAACAAATATTGAAAGGGAGTCTCAAAGAAGAAAAAGGCTAAATACTGCAGGTAGACAAAAAGAAAGTGAGAAAATGGGCTGGGGTAAAAAAAAGTAGTAAACTAATGAAGGACCTGGCATTAGTCAGTAGCACAGTCAGGAAGGAAAGACCTGTCCCTTGAGGTACTCAAAATGCTGCTGATGACCACAGCATCACCCTGCCTCCAAGTACTCACTTGATCTTGTTACATAAGAGAGACCAGCTCTTCTTTTTCTGTTTTTTTTTTTTTTCAGAATTAATATTTGAACATTGTTGTAATAGAACTTTATTTTATTCTATTCTTTAGATATTAATTATATGATTAATAATATGTCAATAGTATGTCCTGCTGTTACAGACATACAGTACAACACAATGTAACTCCATTCTATTTACTTTTTTGTTTAGAAATCAATAAAGTCAGCTTTCACTACTTCCTCTTATGATCAAAACATCACTTAGTTAAAGACATCCCCTTTTCCATTGGATGCTTTTTGCATTAGTTTGGCTGGTAAGTTATTAACACATATAAAAAAAAAAAACTATAGTTTGACATGAAACCAATAAAAGAATTAAATATATCCACATTTTAAAACACTTATACATATTCTAAAATGAAAAAAAAAATCTATTTTTTCTTGAGTTATTTTGTGTTGCATGTACTATGATTTTGCAAAAATATTTCAGTGCATTCGAAAGGTGTATTTTTTTAATCTGGAAATCTTCCAGCTGTGTATTTTTACCAGCTGCAATTCTGCATGGCCAGGCAAAGTGAGGCATGAAGCTGGAAGAGTGCAGCAATGAAATGTCAGACGAAATGTTGTGTGAGCTGCAGAAAGCTGGAGCAAGCAAAAAGATGCAGAAGACCTTAAAGGCAAGGAAAAGATCTTGAATTCAAGTGAAAAAAAGAGATGAGATACAAGTGAGCAAGCCTGGTGACTGCTGTGGTTGGAGGACAGCTGGCTGCTGCACTTCGGGCAGACCAGAGAGGACTATGCTTGGAATATGGGTAACAGCTTGGTAATAAGGAGAGGGAGGAAAAAATTGTGGTGGTGCCAGTGTTTTGCAGGGAAACAGTGGAATTACAGAGTCTGATGTAACATTTCCAAGAGGAGTTTTACTGCATTTTGAGAAGTGATATACATGTTTCAGTCCCTGGCCCTGCCTGGCTTTCAGAAAGGTTTATATGCCAGCACTGCGTCTTGGGTGGTCGGTGTTCCTGACACAGCCATCCCTCGAGCTTTTCTCAGAAGAGGAAGAAAATTCATTAAAGGCAATGGAGGATGTGTTTTGTGGAAGGCAATGAATGGAAGGGAGCACAGATGAGTTTAGGAGATGACAAATATGACTTTGGAAAGGTGCTGTCCCTGAACAGCAGGTATGAGGGTGGATGGGAGAGGAGGCCCACAGCACAGGGGTGGACCTGGGAACTGTTGGCTGAACGGGCAATAATTATGATGATGAAAACTAATGGAAGATGCCTAGGTTGGGGACAGAGAACAACTGAAGGCAGATTTTATTCTTCTCCCCATGCTGAGCCCTACCTGCTCTCCTACAATTTGAGCGGAGCAAGAGCAGATGGAGCACTGCTGGGCTGGAGGGTGGTAGAG